CTGCTGAATGTTGTCTGCCCACCAAATGCTAAGCTCTGCCTTTCGTAATTCAGCCAGATGTCCTGGGTTTAACCGATGTTTTGACGGAAGCGGCAGTGCTTAGGCTACAGTCCAAGGAGTTTTCAAGTGAACAGTCTGGCCATGGAAGTCCAAATCCCAACGCAAGTGGTAACTGTGTCCTTTGCTTCGTTTTCAACTCTATCTTGAGTGGAAGGTGTCTCGTTGCACTGTGTGTGGTGGTGGAGCTCACAGGTACTTTTCACAGAGAAAGAAGAACAGTGTGAGGATAGAGATAGCAAAGGACGTCTGTCTTATATGGTCTTGTGCTTGATAAGGTCACAGGCAGTACAAACTCACACCTTCAACAGATCCTTTCATGCTTATAGGCCAGGGCACATCACATTTTCTACGACTCCTGGAAAAACAGATGGGCAGCTCCGAGGCATAGCTGTTCGCCTCTGGCACCCAGCAAGCAAAAGCTTCCCTTTCTGCACATAAGTAATGCACACTCACTTCTGAAACTTTTTCTCCCTGCCCCTCCTTTGTGTTCAGGTTATTCTGGCTCTGCTACGTAAGATGAGTCAAAAAAAAAAAAAAAAGAACCCTAAGAGAGCAAGAAACAGAACAGAAACTGGGAATCCAAGTGCTACAAATAAAGAGCAGAACAGGAATTGCAGCTGGAGCCCAAAGCATTGATTGCCAAGTGCAGGAGCTGAGTGGGAAAAGAAAAAGTTACAGTTCACTAACAAAGAGCACATTGAGCACATTTAATTTCCCCTTCTGGATTTTCACCAAGATGAAATTTGCTTTCTCTGTATATGTGTGGAAAGCAACTGTTGCAGGGAACATTTACAAAGCAAAATTGTTTCCAACTGCTCCGTGGAAGAGAAACAGCCTAAAAGGAAAAGAAGAGAAACGACTAAAATCATGTTTCCGCAGAAGAGGACCCTCTGGATTTGTCCATTTTTCAGTTTCACGATGCTGCTGTCAGGAACTGGGAGCTGTGCTCTCTGCAGAGAACGTAAGAACAGCCTCCAGCTTGTTCCTGGTGTGATTTCTGGCCAGGGAAAGCCCTTGCTGCCAGGCAGCAGAACCTGGTCAATAGGACACGGGAACTGACTGGTGGGAAACCTGCACGTTGCGACCTGTCAGACTGCACAACGTGGACAAAGCCCCCTTGGTGGTATTTTTATTCTGCTGTATAATGCTAATTTGTGCCCGTGGTTGGGGCTGTGTTTCATCCTAGCAAAAGAGTTGAAACAACCTGAAACCAGAGGCTGGAACAAACATACATGGACTGCAAAGTATCGCTGGTGAACAATTATCAGAGAGACCAGGCACAGGCTGCAACCACTTGCTTGTCTAGAGTAGGTTTTGAGGCTGAGTGTGCCTTTGGCACCTGAGTGAATCGGTCAGACCTTCTCCTGGCCCTGCCTGGGGCGCATGGCTGGAGGGATGCTGCCTGAGGTTCACGTCCACTGAGCCAAAGCATGCAGCCCCTACAACCCGGCTCTTCTTGTGATGGTGGCCCCTTCCCAGACCTCTCACATGGTGGGTTTCCAACCAGAGCGTTTTGGGTGGTCAGGTTCCACGCTGGGCATTTTGAGGGTTGTGTGATGTGCAGGTGATGAAGGACAGAAAGCCACGCTGGGCTGATGTTGCAAAAAAGCCAGCTGGCAGCTCTCCTCCCACACCTCCTGCCTCCGGCTCCCAACAGCCCAGCAGCCCATCCTATTTCAAGGTCCCTGTCCCCATGGGGCTGGTTTTTGGCAGGGAGCAGCCAGGGAGGGGGCAGCTGAGGGGAGCGGGCAGGAAGGACATGGGATGAGTCTCACAGGAGTGTTTTCCCATCCCCGGTGCCTGTTTCTGTGGCTCTCAAAGGTGTTGAAAGGCTAATTAGGTGACGTGCTGTGAGGGGCTTTGGCACAGCTGCTGTGGTATCTGTAAGCCAAACCAGCAACTTAATTAAAAAAAGAGGCAGGTTCTCTCACATGCATCATCTCTGCTTGCTTCTTTTGGCCCTCCTGATCTATCTGCTCTGTGGTGCTTCTCATTTCACTGCTAGTACGGAGGATTAGTCAATTTTTTTCTCTTTTTTCTCTCTGTTGCTTATTCTGCCAGTGCTGGCTCTGGTCTTTGCTTTATTTCCAAGCACCGAACAGCAGCCTTTGCACCTGAGTCTTTCCTGTTTCCCAGGTGTGTCGACGCAATTCAGTTCCCACCCTGGTGCTGATGGACTCAGTGTGGACCTTGGCCTTTCCCGTCTCACCCGTTCCCTTGAGAGGACAGAGCATCTCCCACCTCTGCCAAGGGAGTGCAGGGCTCTTCCTCCACCAACTGGGACACTGAGCACTTCTGGTCAGAGAAGGTCACCAAAGGCTTTCCCACCCCATGGACCGGGAGAGGACTCCACTTGGTGCCCCGCAGAAAGAGGTATTTCCATGGTGCTTCAGCCTCATGGTTTTAATAATGGTGGCGGCTTGCTTGGAGAGTTGTCAGCGGTGATAAACTCAGTCCTGTTCCATTTCAAAATTAGTTTAAGATGCCTGGCTGTTTAATATTTAAGCTGAATGTTTAATGTTTAAACAGGGAAATTGTTCCGATTGTCAGGAAAGGCGTTAAAGCAGGATGGAACCTGGTCTGTGATCTCTGCCAAACGCTGCCCCTTCACTGCAGCAGCGTGGTGCCTGGGAGCTGCCACTCTTTCAGAAATGCTAAATTTAATCAACCTCTTTCATTTCATTTGCTGCTTACCACTCCCACAGCAACAAGACTTGCTTTTTCCCTGCGAAGTGGGGAACGTTGTAGCTGGCCCCGTTCAACGGTTTGAGACTAGTTCAGCCGAATTGAACTTGCCCTTCAAAAAACCCAAACAAATCGCAATAGAAATGTGCGTGGATGAGGTTTCAAGCCAAGCTGGACAGTGTGGGCTCACAGGCGTGTCCCAGATGATCTGGGGTTCCTTCTGCAAGCGCACAGAAAAGCTGTGAGATTCAGACGTCGAGTTTCGAGTCAGCACAAAACCAAATGGCTCTGAATGCCACAAATGCAAGTGTGGGTGAATATTTTTGAACAGCTACAGACAGTGTTTTTCAGGCAGTGGAAATACCACCCTGGGGGAAGCGGGTAATGGTGCAGAACCATTTCATGCCACAAAAGGCTTGCCAGGAGCGATTCTGCATGCTTTCTCCCAGAGCCTGCAGGCAGGCACTGTGGCCGTGCCAGGCTGCATGCACCAGGTAGTCCTAGCGCACGCGAATCCCTGCTCAGCAAAGGCTGGAGCTGGGGAGAACAGATTCAGCAGGGAGCCCTCGAGTCAAACATCAATTCACGTTAAGTCACGTTTCACCTCTTAAAATGTTCCTAAGGTGGATAAGGCTAAACCAACCTGTCACACGACCTGTCGAAAATCCCTTAAACAAGCATTTAATACTACAGTTTAGTGTGTTCAATATCCAACACTGCTGCTTCCTACTGAGACTATTTGCTCCTTTCCAGCGTGGGCAATTTGAAGTGCATGTGTAAGTTCAAGTTAGATGGGAAAGCTGAAGCTGAAAATGTAGATAGTCTTCTTATAAATAATCTGTTAAGGCTTTTTTTTTCCCCCTGAGAAACTGGTAGTGGCTGGCTGATCCTCACACAGAATGATTGTGAACAATGAACAAAGCAGCTCAGGAGACACATACTGTCTGTACTACCTTTTCTGTGTGGTGCTTAACACTGGCACAGTCAGCACCTGCACACATCTGATGATAAGGGGCTGCCTGAAGCACCCCTTCCCTCTGGAAATGGCTTCTGGTTTGGAGCCCACCAGCACCTAGGCTGAGACTGGTCTGGACTTGTGGTGTCTACAAGGTTTTTGCACAAAAAAGTGAGAGGAGAGGACATAGGAATGCGGTTGAAGCAGAGGCCAGGAGCAAAGTCATCTCAGATAGGTAGGAATTTCTGTTGACATACACATATGGATCATATCGAGCAGAGCAAGGGTTTGGTGGCTGCTGCATGTGATGTGCCTTGTGATCAACACGCTGGACAAACACCACCTTCCACAAACTCACAAAAAATGACGCGAGAGAGAATCTGAAGAAAAGTTTATAGAAGAGCTCCTCTGATCAAGGTTTCAGGACTATTGAAAGGCACATTTCACCCATGTTAAATGACAGTTGAGTTCATGGACACATACGAAGCTCACATTTCATGGTAAAAAGACCGCATAATGATGGTACGTTGTGAAACACATATTCCAGACTTCAGTTAAACACTAAAGTAATTATTTTAAGTGTGTCATGTACATAATAAGAGCGGAACAGGCAGATGCATCCAATTACTGTAATTTACAAGGCAGTAGTTCAAGCCCCAAATATATTTCTCCTTATTGGAGGAAGGCGGTACAGATCACGAGCAAAACAAGGGGCAGCAAATTGACGGGGAGCCAGGAAGCTGCTGTCACTCGGAACATAACAGCTAGCACCTGCTGCAACTCGGAGGGCCTTTAACTTTGCTAACTCACTTTGCTCTGCTTCAACAGTGGACAGCCAGGCTGGATCGGATGCTCTTGGCCCAGGAAGCAACCGAGAGCTGTGTTGCACTGACGCAGGCACCCTGCAGAACAGGTAAGCACGGATATTTGCTCGGTCACAGGCAGAATAAAGTCCACTCGTGCTTCCTCTCCCACCGTTTAGTGAGCTGCTTGGTGCTAATTGCCTCTTTTCAACCAGCTCGTGGTTAAGTTTCATGTTGTGATGATTAATAATTAATCAAATGCATTTGAAATTAATTTGGCAACTCTACATCTGATTGGTACACTAATCTCTTCTGTGCAGCAGCGATGTTATAGGAATAACCTCGGATAATCTGACCCGCTAACCGAGGTGAATACATCAGGGTATTTATTACCTCTTGTGGTAAAAATTAAAGCAGTGAGTGGAAATAGAATGCATTCTCCAAGGCCTCTTTGCCTTCTAGGAAAGGTGTGATCTACATTTTGCCTTCCCTCTGTTAGGAATAGATCATTGCTATTATCATGTCCAATCAAAACAAATGGACAAGGAGAAGGCAAATTTGAAAAACACCCCCACAGCTGATTTATTTCTGTTTTGCTGGTAGCAATTGCAGTAGATTTGATGCATTAATTATGGTATTAAAAAGAAAAATCACAAGGAGAACAACTTTTGCCCTTTCCAGCTGCCCGTGCCACTTTTCTCCAAAAAGAACACTCAACTGCTAAAAGGGTAGAAGAGGGAGTATGCAGCCTCCACTGGATGTATGGTCCCCACTAGTTTCGAATTAGTAGTCCCTTTTTATAGGCAAACAGGCCCACAGCAGCCATGGAGGTGAAACACACGGTAGAGCTAAGCAGGCACAGCAGTCCCGGAACGGATGGCAGGTTCCTCTCCCAGAAGCTGGTGGTGAACGGTCGGGCTGGGACATCCTAAGGGAGAGAGGAGATGGTACCAATGCAGAGTCTGCCTCGCTGCCTGAGCAGGGATGCGGCAAATGTCCCCTGCTAGGCTGGGGAGATCACAGGTTTTTGCTGAGGGCCGAATCAGGGAGGGGAAGGAGACTCAGGGCTGTGAAACATGCATTTTCTGTTGTGCACCAGACAGTGAAGGAGGAGTTACTTGTGACTGGAAGGAGGTTATACTTGGCTTAAAACCATGGCTTGGAACTGGGCAGAACTAGGCTGATTTCCTGCATTTTGCAGTTCCCCAGGCTCCAAGATCCTTGTCCCTGGGTCTTGGCCATCCACCTCTCAGACAGGGGTAACAATACTCCTCAGCCGAGTCAAGAAAATGAATACCATCAGCAGGTGAGGTAACCAAAACCTCGCTGAAGCAGGGACCACGGCCTGACTGAAGGGTGCACGACTGACCGGGTGACAATGAGAAAGGCTGGCTTACCTTTGACTCTGGCTCCGGCATCCAAATTTCATTCTTTGAGATCCTTCCCATACGGTACAATATCTAGAAGAAAAAAAAGATTTTTACCATGTGAGAAAAAACTAACACCCACACTACTTTCAGTTTTGGAAAAGCAGAGGAAGTGAGAGCAAGGTGACATTGATAAAAGGCATAACGATGACTAGCTGAAAGTGCTTTGAACTAGCAAACGTATAGTGATTTCTCTGTTTATGTCAGCAAAGAGAGGAAGAGGCACTTTTGGTAGTTTGTGTAAATACATGACAGCTGGTCATCAAACGGTTGTGTGCCAAACCAGTGTTTTAAGGATTAAAGGACAGTTTCACAGAGTCATTTGTAAAAAAGTAGGAGTTCACTAAGAAATCCACATGAACTACAGCTTCTCCAGATGTTTACTTTAATTTTTTTTCTGAGTACAAGTAAAAATGCTTTTTCACATGGCAGTTTGAGAAATAACAAGGTGAGGTTACCACCACATACTCAGGATTCCTGTTAGGAGTGATGCTGCTTGGATCACAAACTAGAAAGAGGAGAGATGCAACTCTGGGGCTTTCAAAGCATACAATTACAAAGTTCTCTCTTGGCTATTCAGACAGTACAACGCTCATCAAGGATTATTCTTGAGCATAAATTGATTGTAACAATCATGGAGGTTCTCAGGGGCAAATGAACGTCTCCGGAAGAGACAGCTAACCGTCTTTGTAACTACTACCCACAAGCATGGAGACAAGAAAAGAGAAATTAGGTGACTTGAAACAGCAAGTAATGAGGATTATAAGGTGAATATGACGTTCTGTCAAATGGAAGCAAAGGGCTGATTTTCCCTTAAATAATAGCTCCATGGCTCTGCCATACAGCAGTTGTAATTGTAATGTACACCCTTTGAGGTTCTTTTCCCTCCCTCCAGACTGTTGTAAAGGGATTTCACTGTGACTGGGAACCCAGCCCAATGTATGTCACTCTGAGGAGATTTAGACATTATCAGAGCCGCCAATTACGAATTCATAAAGCTGAGCTAATGGCACTCGCCCATAAAAAGAGAAACAGAACGGATAGATCAAAAACAAGAACAATGCTCAGATTTCCAGATTGCTGCACAGGAAATAGCTGTGAGCATTTGTAATGACTTAAATTACTTTTAAAACATACAGTGATTAATCTGTTAGAAATTGTGGTAGTATATCTAAAGGCAGCATCAGCTTGTAGAGTTTTTTTCCTCCAGACATGAGGTATACAGCATGGGCTTCGTTTTCAGCCTCCAGTGCAGCAACACACCGCGTAATGTTCTGATTCAGGTGAGATTCTTGGCTTCGCTTTATTCAATAACAAACTAAGTAAAATTAAAAAAAAAAAAAAAAGGCTTTGGTTCACATCCTTTTCTAGGAGTCTCTGCACAATTACAGGGTGTGATGCACGAAATCAGACCCTCCAAGCTGTACTTTATCCTTTTTAACCTTTTAATAGAGATGTTGAAAGCAAACCAATCATCTGTACCTCTCTGGCTGCTCGCTCTCCTGCCTCTACGGCTCCCTCCATGTACCCACTCCATTGGGTAGCTGTCTCTGTGCCAGCAAAGTAGATTCTGTCAACAGGCTGGCGAATGATCCTTCAAAACAAATGCAGAATGTCAGATGACAAGTTTCAGGAAGGCAATGATCCCTCTAAAAGCAATTTATGGGTTTTGATGGAGCGCTCTACGTCAGTTCTCCAGAATTCCTACATACCTGGGCTGGGGAGCATAGTGCAATAAGCTGTCCCTGCAGGACCACCTACTTGCCTCTGTACACAAAACTCAAGATCAGAGAGAGAGAAAATCTAAGGCATAAATCAGTGTGCCCGGTTTCTGTGCAAAATAATACGAGCCTTATTTTAGTGCTGGGATAAGGGATAATCCTAACAGCCTCCAGAAATGCAGTGCAGCTGATAGATTTATGCCTTCTGCATGGCAGCTTTGTTGTTATCCTGCCATTACAATAGGATGTGAATAATGCTTTTGCAGTGATGGGTCACTAATATTAGCTTCCATTTGGAGTTTGCGCTTGCCTGGCTGCAAAGTCCTTCCAAACAGGGATGGCAGATGAAGTCCTCAACATTCAGGGAGCTGCATTCGCCCCATAGGGTCATATAAGCCAGCCCTTCAGCTATGCAAAGCTTCACAAGCATCCTGCTCAACCTAGCCATAGGTAATGAGCTCCCTTTCCCATAGAGAGATGTGCTTGCTCTAAGGGCTCCCATCCAACCTGATTAGGTCTTCCCTGTCTGCCTGACACCAGCTTCCCCGGGTCAGAGGTCTCACCCATTGCTACCCAAGTGTAAATTATAACAGCAGTGGCTGTGCACGGGATGACTTCTTCCCACTCACATCTTGGCACAGAGGCAGGTTGTAACTCCATGATGGACTTGCTAAGGAGCTCACACTGTGATGTGCTACATGGTTTGTCTGGTCTTTGGCTATGGATACAAGATTTGTCTGCTTGTTCCTATTACGTGCTGAAACATGCCTTCCACAAGCTTTTCAGTGATATACCTAGTATTAATCAGTATTATCTAACACGTTCCTTTAGGAATACAATAATTCTGCATGGGGAGGGCATGGGAGGCTTTGCTGGGTGGGAGGAGAGAATGAGTTTTCATGTAAGGGTTTTGTGTCTTCCCCTCATGATGTGACTCAATGGGCTTCACCAGAACCTGGTGCTCCACCTACACAGTCTGTGGAGACTCCTCAACTGTCCAAGATGTGTGCCCTGGAGACCTTAGAAAGCATTAAAAGGATCCACTGCAAATACTGCATAGCGGCAAATACTGTAAGTAACCTAGTGGAGAAAGGTTTTCTGGCTCTCGCAGGTCCCTTTGTGACTGTGCTTTGTTTCCTTGAAAGTCACAATAGAAACTCTGCTCTTACTGAAGTCAACAGCAAGATCCATGGTAGCTAGGGAGCAGGGGAGCAGAAAGAGGGCTGGAGTTCCCCCAATATGCTACATTTGCCATAAGTTTGTTGCATAAGGTATATCATTGTACACGAGCTAAGAAATGTAAATTAGAAAGCAAAGTATTCTCTGGTTTACCTTCCGTAAGAATACATTACGCCTGGTGGGAAGTAGGCTGTGTAACAACCCCCTGAGTATTGCTCCGTGCTCCAGTTCTTTTCTTCATAATGCACAGGCTGTATTAGCAAACATTAAAGAGTAAAACAATTAGCGAACATTAAAGAGTAAAGCAATGGCAAAGAAATTGGAAATAAATTTAAAAAATCATTTGAAGAGGAGAAAAAACAGGCTAAGGACACCTGTCAAAGGACGGCCATGTCATCTGGCTAAAGCTATCAATCTGCACAAAACAAATCTTTGCACTTTTACAGAAGCACTAGTCTCCCATTGGGAAGTGATAGGACAAATAAAACCACGCACTGCCATCTCTTTTCTCGTAAAGAGTGAGACTGGCAGCTCTTTTCTTCGTGTGCTAGATGTTTTGGGGATTAGGGATGGTTGGACTCGATGATCTCTAAGGTCTTTTCCAACCTAGAAATGTATGAAATCTATGCTGCCGCCCTCCCCTTGGGAGTACAGATTGTATGGCACAACATGCAATTTTAGGTACCAGGAATTTTGAGTTCATCCTCCAGAACAAAGGAGAAACATTTACTGTACAACAGAGGTGAAAACAGGCATTCCTTTCTTACATGTAAAGCCTCTTCCATGCCCGTGGCCTTGGCATATGCCTCACAGATCTTCTTCTTCCTGTATGAAAACAAAATCAGAGTCAGAAAAAAAATGGTGGGGAAAAAACCTCTCAGCTTTTGCTCTTCTTATACAAAAATCACATTTATTGCAACACACTGGAAAGAAAGTTGGGTTTGGCTTTGTTTTTAAGTCTGATTTCAAGTTCTCATCTTAATATACATATTTCAAATGCTGATGCCTAAATGTGACATCCAAAATGGACCCAGGGAATGGGAAATGAAGGCTGATTTTGGCAATGAGCTCTGAAAAAATAAATCTTCGTACAGTTATTTTAGGATGCAGAGCCAATTCATTCTCATGTTCATTGGTGTAAGACCAGAAGAGAAGCAATATAAATCAATGAAATCCCTACAGATTTACTATTGCTGAGAACAAAATATCAGCTGGAGAATAGTACTCACATTCCTAAGCAGAACTCCTCTTTCACTCATGTGTGTATCAAAAATCACATTTAAAAAGTACTGTTTGTTCATTTCACAGACTAATAGAAAAACTGTACTGTTATAAACACAGAAGTTTAAAAATTTTATCACCCTGAACGTGAAGGATACCCAAAACTACACATGTCAGCGCTCCCTATATCCTTGGGGTGAAGCATCATTCAGTGGGGATCCAGTCTGGGAACGTCTTTGGAAAAATCTTCTCAGTTCACATAGACACACTAAGCTGATAAATGATAGCATGGAAGAGTGGGCAGCACTTGGAAACTCAGAAATATCTATAACTGAATGGATACTAGCAATAATGTCTTGGTCTGTTTATACAAAAAGATTATTTTTTGCCCCTGTTTCCAGTACTGGTGGTTGCACTGAGCATGTGTATACGTGCATATGCACACATATATCCAGACACATGTTCCTGTAAGGAAGCATCCCAGAGAAATGACTTATTTCTGAAATACTGACAGTTTCTGAACTCTTACCTCTCTTCCTTACTGAGATGGGCCAGTTTAAGAGCCTTTCTGGTAAGGATGAAACTGAAAAGAAAAATAAGGCATATAAATATCATGCACTGTCAGCACCCCAGCTGATTCGCAAGCTCTTGCTTGAAATGACTCTAAAAAAGAGACGGGCAAAGCACTTTACCGGTACGTAATGGGCTTGACATTTTTTCATCATACTTCATCTCTTAATAATTACAGGTTGCATGAGTGAAAAGGCTTGTACAGGGTACCCTAGGGAGTTAATTGAAAGGGAGAGCACGCATTCCCAGGGAGCAGGCACAGAAGACTACCCGGCAGCTACCAGATGAGAAAGCTGTGGATTGCAAGTGTGTTTTCAAAGCTGCCAGCACTGGTCTCATTTTGCTTTGTGGGAATGAACCCTTCATCCCCACTGACTCACCAGACCAAAATTATACCCAAAGTGGGCAGAGAGACAACAGTGTCCAGCAAACAAGCCTGCGCTGCCAACCCTCTTATACCTAAGTCTTATCCAAAAGGACTGAGACCCTGAGTTTTCTTGAGCTTCTGAAGTCTTGCAGACAGCTGACCACACCACTGTCCCTGTCACTTAGTGTTTTAATAAGTGACGGGAGCCTGCTGCTCTGACAAGCACTGCACTGCAAGTGTCATGAGCCAGTCCTATAAGACGTGGGATTAATATTTATCCAGCTTGAAAGAAACAGATTTGGTGATTAGTTCATCTGACCTTAGTGGAGATACCCAAGGGATGAAGCATGTTCCTGAACTCTTTTAGAAAGTTGCATAAATCCACGAGGAGAAAGCACGAAACTGTTTGCCATATGGAGTTTGGAGGAGACTTACTGCTCTCAGGTCATGGAATTTTTTAAGCCTTGAACATGCCCATAAACATGTACAGTTCAGTAGAAGTGGCAAGCTTTCCTTGCCAGATACTTAAGGAGTAGTTGTCTGAGACTCATATTGGCCTTTTTTTTTGCAGTCTCACTTCAGATTACAGTGGAAACGTTTGTAAAGATTGTTTGTTCATATTGGCTTAACCTGTTTTAAAAGCCAGTCAATGCTGCTACATATTTTCCCATCTGTTTGTTCAAACTACAACTTTTTTACTTGGCAGTTTCTTCAGAATCCTGATTTCTTCCCTGGACAGCCGCTGTCCCACTCAACCACCAGCTGATATTCATTGTCCTGCCTCAGTTCACTGGGGAGAGGAGGCAAATGAGGATTTCTTGGACAACTGCATTTTTTTTTGGCCCAGGAGCTAAATGCAAGGCTCAACATAAGCCGAATAGAGGCTCACAAAGCTAGGCAAAAAAGGGATTTATTTCTAAATCTATTCCACAGCAAAAAAACATTAACTGAATGCTTAAAACGAGCTACAGCTGAATTCAGCAACTCCTTCCCAACTATCTCCTTTGTATTAGACTATTTGTAGCAGAAGCTTCACCTAAAAGCTTATGTGGACTGGAGAGGCACAAGAGGCTTGTCAGAAGTGCTCTCCTCCATCTATGAAGACTGTGGGAGTGGGCATCACTGATGTGACCTGGCCATTTCCCCTCTTCCTCTCACTCCTTCATACAATAAGAAATTCACATCTGTGAGTATGGACTAGAAGCTCCTAACCCCATAATGGCAGGGAAAGATCCATCAGGTTTCGTGTCATCTATGGTTATTCCAATTGGAGACTCTTCATCCTCAATGATGAAGAGACCGCAATAACCTAGGGGAGGAAAAGAAAAAAAAATTGTTAGAGAAACTTGTTGAAGATCATTGTTTCTGATAGTAATGAGCAGGAAAAATTATCCATAACAGGAATTGCACAGTAATTCCTTCATCACCAATAATATCTTCATGCCTGAAGTGTTTTTGTAACAGTCTCTCTCCTCATTTCCCTGGGAAATTTTGTACATGGACTTATAAAAGTCATATTTAAATTCAGTTATTACTTAGCAAGGAATTTCTGTGGATTGTTGCAAGTCCCATTGGCTTTCTATATTGGGAGCAATAAACATAAAAAATAAACAGATCTAGCAAGAACTATGATGGTTCATTCCATGAATAACTTTGGCCAGAACAACAACAGCAGCAACAAAACCCACTGTAATTACACCTGGTCACTGCAGGCTCAAATTTACACTCTGTATTGAATTTGCTGACAATGAGACTATCAGCAATGGTGTCTCGTAACAGTAATGCAGTAGAAACACGTGCCTCCTGATATAGTATCACATCAGTACATTTAGATAACAATGTATAAACCTGTATTATGTTTCTTTCTAATCCCAATGGCTGGTTTATGCCCTGAAACATGCAAAATTATATTCTTTTGAATCAGAAATATTCTCACCCAGTGCAACTCTCAGTATCGTTGCATAGGAAGTGGAAACTAATCTGTTCACACAAATAGTTCTGGAAATGGTATCAGTTAAAGCTGAGAAACACATGATGTTGCAGCACATGGAAAAAGTATCATGAGTTAAACAAAAAGCTAATCTACTTTTTACAGTCCTCTGAGATATCAAGTCTGTAGAACAGAGGATTAAAAACAGGGAAAGGTCTTGCTTACACCTTAAGCTCTCCTTGTCATCTGCTGTAAATTCTCTTTGGCTGCCCTAACTCTGTCCCTGGCAGGGATAAGCAGGGACCTGCTGCAGCAGGGTCACTGCTTCTGTGCATTGCAAATTTCAGCAATGCTTCACAGGGAAACTTCGCTTCTTCTCTCAGTCATCCCTCCTCAGCTAGCAATGATGGGATTCGGGATCCTATCTGAGTCTGGACTCATCTTTGGGAAAAGGTGTGCATTCAAGCTCAGAGGGAGAGCTCTCCTTTCTAAGGAGCTTTACCTTTCACTTTTCTGTGTGTTTGGTTTTGAGGTTTTGCACATTTAACACCTCCTTGGATTTATTCCCTGATAGACAGCAGAGCTTCAAAATTTGCATAGCATGGGGCTCTCAACTCCTTCACTTTCCCCACATACCCTTCTTCTCCCAGAAGGCTTCTCTGTAGTACATCATGCATTTTATGACACACCCCAGAGGCAAACGCTGAATTAACTGGTTTCTCTTTGTCGGCAGTTCTGGTTTGTAATGAATCTTCGTTGTCAGGATGGGAGGGATAGCACTGATCACATACTTGCCCTGAAACGTAAAACGCAGTCAGTACAGACAAGGCGATGCCTCCCATCGAGCTCGCCTCGCACAACATGTTTGAAAGAGTCTCTTATTAGTTGTTAACAGCTTTCCCACACCTGGCTTTGCTACTTGGCTTTCCCACACAGATATTTCCAGGCAACCAAAATAATTCTGCCATTTCAGAAAAAGGAGCTGGGAAAACATGTTGTTTTGTGGTGAGATGACTCTTGACAACTTTCCAGACACTACAAGACCAGAGTTGAAACTTGGCTGGAGACAAGTGGGGGAAATGTGACAAGATAGATCTTATGGCATAAGTAAAATTGCCTTTTATCATCTCCAGGAAAATATGACCCACTTTGTCCAAATTATAAGCTGTTTAAAAAAAAAAAATCACTTCTGTGCATGTTCACAGGCTACTACTTCAGGATGAGCAACACTGACAATGATTTCAGCTCTCCTGAACGTGCTCCGTCCCTCTCACAGGTCCTGTGTCTAACTGGAGTGATGAAGGACGGTCTGCTTCGGGGCTCAGGGTGACACTGTGTCACAACAGACACTGCTGCTCTCAGGCACTCTCACACTGGTGGGGCCACTGAGTGCAGGAAGCTCAGCTCCTCCAACTTGGCTGTCACTCAGCCAGCATGGAGGGAGAAACTAGTGGTTCAACTCTGGGCTTTAAAAATCCCGGGAGAAGGGAGGGAGTCCCTCCTCCAGGACACCCTTAGATCAGCTTCTCTGCCAAACAGCTTTTTTCCTTTCGGCTGGCTTTCTCTAAATATCCTCCAAACTCTGCCACCAGTGAGATGGGCGTCTTGCAGATCTGCACAAACCCCCGTGGCAGGCTGGGCTCTGGGTGCAGGAGGGAGTTGCCGCCCCACGGGTGCCACTGGAGGTAATCATGTACTGATGGAGCATTTCACAGCACTCCTGTACAGAGGCAGAATCTTACTAAAGGCATTTGAAATGTCTCTTTTTTTTTTTTTTTCTGCAAACCGCAAACTTAGATATGAACTGGAATGTTATTTTTCCTTTCTTTGAAATAGTCTCAACACAGAACTAAAATGTAAAAATGTATAATCACAGAAAAGTAGCGGCAGAAAAGCTAGAGTAATGATAGAAACTAGCTAGCAGAACACCAAGAAGAGATCCAGTCATAAATAAATCTGTAAAGCAGGTTTCACAGAGTGTCAGCGTCGTCTGAGAAATAGACACACACAAATGTGTACTTCCTGATTACATCTGGCTAAGAGCTACAGCAGATGTATTCTCCCACTAAATGCATACTTTATTTCTATTCTGATCAAATTACCTCATATATCTCATGGTTTAGAGTCTCCACAATGACATTATCACCTGTCTGATCAATACCGACCACAGGTCTTTCCAGTTTAACTCTGCCTTTGAGGCGTCCCATTATTTTCTCCGATATCTGACCAGAACCCCCTTTAAACTTCCTCTCCTAAAAAACAAACAAAAAAGAAACACAAACAAAAAATCACCAGCATTAATCACAATGACATTGAATATGACTTCTGCTTATAATCAAGAACCTCCAGGCCAAGTCTGCAAGTCCTAAGTGTGCGTAAAGAAGCCCAGACTTTCAGAGGAGCGAAGGCATAAACCTGAGCCTCAGCGGGGATTGCTGCCGAAACCGCTTTTGCAATGGCTTCCTCAATTAACTGGCTTAAAGACTCTTGAAGCCTAGAGAACAAACACATACAACACAGGTATTCTAGCTTGTATAAACAAATCACTTCGTTAAAAAGAAGTTTTGAGTATTTTACCCATGACTGTGCTACCAAAACACTCATGAGTGACAAAGACACCAAATTGCACCTGTATGGCTAAAACCTGCGCCAGCCCAGAAGCAAGACAGATCTTTAACTGGGTCTGGCCTTGAGTGCTGCAGGCAACAAGCTTTATCTGTCCCCAGGAACACACAAAGACATTGCTGTCTGGAAAAGAGCACAATCTGTGACACATATTTCCTTGTGATGTCTGAGCAGAGGCTCAGGGGAAGCACTAACTCTCTTTTATCTACCAGCCACCAACGTTACATCAAGCAGGTCGCTTTTACACATAAGATGCTGGTACTGGCAGAGAGGAAAGGATCCACAAAGTCTTGTGCTGAAAGACTGTAATGGCTGCCTGAAGAAGTTTTATCAGAGTCATCATGGCCACTGAGTCAGAAACCCTTAGCGGTTTTGCTCAAGTGACTTTGACTGCGGTGAGGGGAGAGGGAAGGATGGTAGAAACCAAGACAGGTTGCCCCATCCAGGCACAAAGAAAACGAAGTGCTCTTCCCAGGCTAGTTTTCCCCTCTCCACATGTCTTATTCAGCTACAAGTATCTTTCTTGCTGTAACATCTAGCAGTCACTGACATGGGACAGTAAATGTGGCTGAAGGGCTCCTGAGGAGGAAGAGGTCTTGCTCCTACCTCAATGCAGCATTTGCTCTGCTTGTATCCTTCCTGACACATGGTTGTCTATTCTTACCCAAATGGACAGATCTTCATGGAGACTTCGCATCTCTCCAGGCAACTTCTCTTAATGTCTCCCTATTTCGGCACACTTGGAAGGGTGTGGTACTGTCTCCAGTTTTGCTGTTGATAGCTGAAGGCTGAAATGCTGTGTGTGTTTTCCAAGGCTGCACTAACTGAGGTAGGAGGCTAGTAAAGGGTGTCAACATACAACATTCAAATTACTTTGACAGCTCCCTCTCTCCTTTTCTGAAACTTCATCCAGACAATCACATGAAAACCATGACGTTCTGCAGGCAACCAGGCACCTGCGATGACCAAGGCGAGGAACACTGAAGTAGCTCATAATACACGCTATCTGTAGAAGGAAAGGCCTTTTGCTATCTACTTCCAATTCTTGTCATTAGAGGCTTCAATACCAAAAAGACGTATTTCACCCTGAGGTACACTTGCTTTGAACTCCTGAAAACATTCAAACGTGATAAGTAACCCATAGAAAACAAATTGGCTAAAAAGCAACAAAACAGCAACAAAAGAACTGTGCTGAAGCGAATGCAGGAAAGAACAGTTGATTAAATTGTCCCAATTTATCCCAAAGCCTAGCTAATAAAATTCCTCATTGTACAGAGTTAGCCAAGAGGGCTGTTCCACTCCATGGGAACACGATTGTCTCTGGTGCCACATGCACTTGGTGTTTCACTCTCTTTTCATTAATTGCAGGGCTTTGATGGGTACAACACTCCACTTGCTCTTTATGGTTTCAAGAGAGGAGGAAGAATATGAGACATTTTGTACCTGGCCCCCATTGGCGACAGAGAAAATCCTGGCTGTGCCCCCACACTGCCTCACGTACCACAGGAACCAGAGAGCGGAGACTTCATGAGGCTCAGAAGTGACGTTGACGTTCACAAATAAGGTGGCAAATTCTTTAACAGCTCTGCATGAGACACAGGAGCAGAAACAGGCAGTGAGTAAATGTGACTCCCTGACTGCTTTGGGGATTTTGTTTGTTATTGTCGATAAAGGCTGCTTTCCCAAAGTCAGAAAAGCCAGGATGATTTGTATCAGTCCCATTTTTCAGTCTGTAGCGAGACTGTTTCAAAGGGTTTATATCAGCACCTCCTTCCCAAAGCGTGTACTCATTTAGTTTGAAATCCCACTGATTTCACCTTATTTGCTTCTTTAAAGAGTTCCCCAGCTGCTATTCTTTTCATCAGAACAAATATCTTTCTCAACGGGAGAATGCATTTGGTAATCAACTAGTGAATTTCTTCTGCATTCCTCCTCCATGGGAAGCTCATCAGGCACATCATTTCCAAGGTCTGACGGATCCCAAGGGACTCAACTAGCCACGTGGCCAAGACATTCCCCATGTCCCATGTAACACTGCTGGACAGACCTTTTGTGAAATCAAGAACCAGACATGGTAAATAACCCAGAGAAACCAAATTGGCAACCATTGCCATAAATGTAAGGAGAGGGTCAGCTGTCTACCATAGTTAAGTCCTCTGAACATAAAGTTACAGCAGCAGGAAATGAGGACCTGGCTATGCACATTTCTTTCATTTGTGGTACAGATTGCTAAAAGAATTGAGATCTTGCAAAGAAGGTGAAAGGTCTTTGATTTGGATGAAGTTTCATAAAACAACATGAATTTATAATCATCTGCTAAAGGAAGGAACTTTGCAAGTTATATGGGCTAAAATACGTAACTTATGACCTTTTATAACCTCATTTCCCTGGGTATGAAGTCCAGTAACCTCTATTTCATTAGCTAGGATACAATAACATCCTGCACACAAGAACCCTCTGCCACAATCCTGAAAGTACCAAGACATTAAACAGTTGTAGCAGGTTCAGGCCTGAGAACTGTGAAGAGAGTCTCCATGATCAGTAGATGCTGATCTGTGGCACATGACAAACAAATCTTCTTTTATAATCTTGACCCAAGTCATACAGAAAATGCTGCAGAAGAGCTTTTGTGTTTAGGGCACTACGTTTTTTAACTATGTGTAGGAAAATCTGGCTTGACTCGAAGATCTAAAATGGCTTTTACTGAGTTTTTGAACGTGTTTCAGCGGAGCACATCCATTAAAACTAGAGTGCCACAAAACCATTGGCAGTAAAGCAGTCTTGCAGAGAAACGTGTTACAGCAGAGAGCACTATAAACCCAGTTCTGCTTGTACTCCACCGGCTCCCCGGCTAAGAGGAACAGTAAAAGCCAGAAGAGGAAGAGCCAGTGCACTTGCGACAGAAAGGGTAGTTCAAAGTAACCGAATTTGCAGGCAAACGGCTCATAAAACTCCTAATTGTAAAGAAAACTACAATGCCACAGAGAGAGCAAGAGAAAGTCCGAATGGCCATACCTTGTATCACATGGAGCTGGAGCAAGATTTAAGCCAGCAAAATAAATTTCAAACGGAAAGTTTTGGCCAGGAAGCTGCAGGAACAGTGCTAAACCTCAGTCAGAATGAAAGGGCAAACAGAGTGCAGCCACACCAATAAAAGATACTGAATACAAGGGAAGACAGCACTGCAGAATAGCACAGGGGCTGGCACAGCAAGTGGGGACAAAGGTGCTCATAGGAGCACCCTTCTCTTTGCCTCATAATGATAACTGAAAAAGGAAAGGGAGAAAAGAGGATTTTCAGTTGTCGTCACCTCATATTGAACATTGCTCCTTTTTTATTCCTACAGTGTGGTCCCTCGGACGTACAAAACACACTGGCCATTTTCTAGGGGATACAAGGCCTTGGGACCTCTTCCTACCAACGAGGGTCGATGCTCTGTTGGACCTGCTACTCACAAACAAGGAAGATCTGTTGGATGATGGGAAGGTGAAAGGCAGCTGAAACGAGGAGCAGCATCTGAACTTCTCCAGAGTTTCTAGAGCCAACGGCTGCTCCCAGACCCCTCCTGGGGTCTCGCATTGCTTCATCCATTGAGTAACCACAGGAGAGCAGCTGCCCTCTGGCAGGTGTATGGCTCTCCCACGTGACAGCGGCACCCACGGCAGCAAAAGTGGACATACACGATAACCGCGCAGGAGAGGACGGAGCCAAGAGTCAGCGGACGCAACTCCTCAGCTCCTAGCCTGCCATGGGGCTGGGGAAGCCCTTTCACCTCCTCCTGCCTTCATTTCTGTGCCTGCAAGTGACCTTCATTCATGCCTAGAAAGTGGAGTTTTATTTACATGTTGCTTTTCCTAAAGACAAAGGCACACGTGCGCCAACCGAGTGATGTGAATGCATGGTGGGAAGAGCCCACGCTGTTGCTCCCATGTGCGTGGGCCCAGCTGAGGCAAACCCCAGGCTTCTCCAGCACCTTTCATCCCACCTGCCAGCCAACCCAAGCGCTGCCTACCACCTTATCCTCCCCAGGCCCTCGCCCACCGCCTGACAACAGCCCATCACGATGACCAGCCTCGTCCCAAACACCTCCTGCTCTCTCAACGCCTGTGCCCCAGCTGTACTCCACTGTACCCCAGAATTTGCCAGGGAGACACTATCATTTTGCAGCTGGATTTCAAAGCGAATAAAGGGTTATGTACTTGGTCCAGCAAATCTTATTTATCAGCTCTTTCATGGTCATTTTGTCCCATTCTTCAGCATGCGGAGCATCCCATGGTGCTTCAAGAGGAATCTGGAGACAGAGGCAAAACATTCAAGAAATTATTCAGTACTATATCATTGCCTGGTCACAGCTAGTTAGTAGCACAGAGCTGATTGATATGTTAGCCAGGAACTGCTTTTTTACCCTGCAGGGGGCTGTAAATTTGGAATAAATTCACTAAATGGAATAGTTTCCATTTACACCTTTGGACATGAATTGTACCATGACCACCAAATCTGGCTTTGCATGACCAATGAACTACATCCATATGTTGGGCCTTTTGTCGTGCAAAAGTGAGGTGTTTATTCTAATTTAGTTGTCTTGGTGTCCTCTAACAGCTGAGGGAAAAATTTGTTCTCCAGCCAGAGATTCAATCAGTTACAAGGTGGGTATCCAAAGGCCTCTCTGTCTCTCAGAGGGAGTGAAAATCTCTAGATACTATTAAATTATTTTTAGACAGTTGAATTCTTAACAATAATCCATTGCATGTAAGTACCATGACATGTGAGTACATTATCGTATATTTGAATCTTTAAAAAATTTATATTATTTGACAAAAAAAAAAAAGTGTAGTATCATGCACAGATTTGATTCTGCAAAACTACATAAACCCAATGAACTTTGCAGGAATACAGTTAGTTATGCTTGAAAGTCATTGCAAGGTAGGGCCGCTCATTTGTAGCCAGATTATAAGGCAACTGATAAATATTTAAAAGACAGCATGATGCTCCAGGGGCTGCTTTTTGCACACAGGAAGATCTGCAGTTGTACTCCTCGAATTCTGAAGGCATTTGCTGTTTGAGAAGTTTAGAAATAAAACTTCAGAAATAAAATTACTATGAAGCCAAACCGGAGCTTAGGCAGCTACAAAAAAGATTCACCCTTACTCAAAAAGGCTGTCACAGGGGAAGGGTAAAAACCCTTCTCGTCTCCCAGCTTGTGGAATGGTTTTCCCTGGTGTGACAAAGTATACAAACTGAGGTTCAACCTCACTTTTTTCAGATATCTTAGACACTTGCAGATCTTTTTATATCCTCTTGTAGAACCATAGAAAGGTCTGGGTAGGAAGGGATCTTTAAAAGTCATGTAGTCCAGCCTCCTCTTAGTGAGGAAGCCCTGTTATTCCTAATAGTTTTTGGGTAACATAGGTATATTTCCTGATGGACCAGATTTACTCACTGTGACATGAGCATTATAGGAAACAGGTGCAATTTACACAGCCTACCTCTTTTCCCAGCTTGTCCATGGTCCTCCAGAAGTTATTGTAATCCAGATAAACTAAGGGATTCCATGTTGAAGGGGAAATACCCGTGAAATAGCGTGACTTTCCCTAAAATACATGTAAGAACATAAGCAACTGAAACATAACAGTGCATACCTTCATTACTCAAGAACACAAAATTCTCAAAGTCATCACATGGTTGACCTTATGCCCCAGAAGACCTATTCACTTTCTCTTTTTTTTAATCTGCATATGCATGTAAAGCTAAGTAGAAGGGCTGATATTAAAAAGGACAATGATGCTTTTTTTTTATTTGGAGGGGATGGGGAGGGTACATTTGTTCCCAGCAGGTTGTCAAAATTCTGGGCTAAGGAGACTCAAGCAACGGCCAAGAAGGTAATATTCTTTGTTCCTAAGCATGCTTCATTATTACATATGAATGAATCTAATGTTTGCCTGCCTGCTGAAATGTGCATCCTAAAATTTGCAGAGGTCTGAAATTGCATGAATTTTAAACTTTTAAACTATCTGAGCACCTTTATGGTACACCTCACCTATAAAAAGCAAACATACCTCTTTATATGTCAAGTACCTTGGGATAAACCTAGCCTAAAAAAAAGCCTCAAAAAACTAGCCAAAAGGAAAGTTTTTGGCTGCAGGAAGAAAAATTTTCATACACTTGCAAAAATGCTATCAGTACTTACAACATGTATGACACACAGATGCAACAGGAATATGGACTGTTTCAGATAATCTGCGATATAATGATAAGCGAAACAACCGAACAGCAGCTGGTTCTTTGTGATAACTTTAATCTGAAAGGCGACTGGATGAGCAGGCAACATTTTATCTTATTAAATTGCTTTGAACCTTCCTTCCCCCGTGTAAGTCGACAGCAAATTTCTCATCAGACCTCTTAAATGTTTGCTCTTCCAGGTGTGTTAAAAGTTTGCACGAGCTCACGTGGCAGGATGCAGCGAACACGCTGGACCACGACAGGTAGGAGCTGTAACGCCGAGCTGCGTGCAATACGCTTTTCAGTGTGATGTATACCATGACAGGTATGCACTCCTGGCAGGTGGGAGTCACGGACCAAGCGAGAGGCTGCAGTGCTGCAAATGCATGAGATGGTGACCCAGGCACAGCGAGGCACAAAGCAGGAGCCAAATGCCCCTTCCTCAAACTCAGTGAGAGAGAATTCCTTGGTCTTCCCCACTGATAATTGAATGCGTGTGTGCAAATACATACGGATTTCTGATATTCCCTAGAACATTCTTTTGCAAAGACGGTTACAAAAATAAAAGGTGCAAGATGAAACTCGGAGACCATAGTGAGCTTTCAGACTTGGAAAAAGCAGTAAAAAAGCCAAACTTCCACATTTTGGTCAGCTTTTGTCATCCCCAGGGGACGTACAATGAAATGCTCTGCACAATGCTTTCTCTTCCTTTTCCTTGAGCACGATTTCTCACTGCCAGTTTGGAGCACTCTGTGTTCAGCCACAGAAAAGCAGACCAAAAAACACACGCAAAGTGATATACTCCATGCTACAGCTTTTACTGTCATAAACCAGTTCTGTATCAAACAAGGAAATCCTGATACAAAGCAGTAATAAATTGCTAATCATTTTCTTCTTATTGCACAACATTTTCTTTTTTCAAAAAGATCATCGAATACTGCTCCTTCAAAGTTCATTTATTGCTAGACTTTTCATTCTGGTCAGGAATGCAGATGCCATCAATGTGTCTTCCTTGGCGTGCTTTAACACCAATAAGCCTGCCCTTAAGCAGAGATGAAGTGCAGCGCTGTCAGGCCAACCAACAACAGGTGAAGATAAGTTATTACTGAAGTTGTCATGTCAATGTTGCAAGGGGATAAAGGAAAAAGATAAGCCCACCGTCCAGGAGTAGCAGGGACAACTTCCTAAAGTTTTTCACCGTTCAGTAAGACCTCTGTTCACACAGCTTTTCAATAAGTGACTCTGCTTGTAGTGAGTGCTATAACTTGTAACTTGGCTTACTTAACTCAAAAAAAGAAACTTATTTAACAAGAAAGTCAAAAAAGTCACTTCTTCTAAGGCTCCTCTCCTCCTTTTCAGCCAAACCTATTCCTTATATTGCTGGAAACGACAGCCCAAGAAAACTTGCTCAGTAACTCGACGATGAAGATTGCGCCAAAACAGCTTTTCCAACTCCCAGTATTACCTCTACCATGTTCAGCAGCTACAGGTTCAGGAACTCCCAAACTATCCTTATTGCTGCAGATGGGGCAATTGGTGAGAGAATCTGCCCACTGCCTGGCTACTTAGTATTTTCCTCCAAATTTTCCACCTTTATACAAGCTTTAGACCACCATGACCACAAACTGCTGAGGACCAATCAAGAAATCTTAAGACCTCAGCTACTGCTATGACATATATCACACTGGATAGTTACTTATCTGCTATTTGAAAAAAGAACTACCCTTTCACTACTGATCTGAAAATATTATTATCCTCACAATCTTGGTCAATGGCTTAGTCCAGGAAGATCCATGGGAACACACATTTTGTCCCCTGGTAACTATGAAATGCCAACTGATAATTAACACAGCCTAGAGTTGCATTACTAGCTGCTCTTTTTTGTATGCAAAAAACAACTACAGTAAGATTGAAGAGCGACCAAGGGCAGGAAAAGCTGGAAAAATACAACAGTGCTAAGAGACCTGGAAAAGGCTGAGACTGAATTCAGGAGCCTGAAATGATTCACAGGCACACTAACTCCTTGTGCAGTGGGGCTGGACCTGTAAGAGGTGGGAGCCGATCGGAGAAAAGCCGAATTCCAGGAAAGAAATTCCCATTGCCCATCAGAAGGAGAGCACCAAACAGCCTTACTCACCTCAGTTTTCCAACCCTCTCTCTTGCACAAGTATCTCCACAGCAGGGAATAAATCTAGCCTGAATGACCTGAGGCTGGTAAGTTATTTGTTTTTAATATTGTTTCCCTACTAGGCAGAGGAGCTCTGGCTGCATGTTTCACAGAGGAGCTCACAGCAAGCAGGCAAGGTCTTGCAATATTCCATTTTTAAACAAGTTTATAGTGTTCTGGGTGTATTATTTTGAGAACTACTGTTTTCTTAACTGAAAGGCAAACAACCTACTGGCTTTGTTCCCATGCTAACCCGAGGCTGCTGGAGTGGCCCACAGAGTTTATCTAACTTTTTTTTAATTTCCTGGTGTGTTGAACGCTTTCCAGCAGACCTCAGATTTGAGTCCCGCTGCATGCCTGGATTAGTTACCCCGCACCGATCCAAAGGAAACAATATCCCCAAGCACTGTAGTGCAGTGGTTAGAAAGCAGGCAGCAGAGATGCGCTCTTCAAGGTCTTGTCTTTTCCCTGCCCAGGGCTCTGCCGTGGCTTGTAGCTGTAACTACAGGAATTAAGCCCAAGCTGCCCCAGCTGCGACACCACCTCAAGTTACAATTTGTGCAAGAGGAGCAGCCAATTTTGCCAGTCTTGAGCAAGGCAAGTCTGGCTCCCACCCGCTGTGCTGAGGACAAGCTACATGTCAGGAAGCACGGGAGGAGCATCCCTTGCATCCCAGAGCAGGGATTGCCATTGCCCTTGAGCAATTGTCCCTGCACAGCACACAGGGCTCGAGCAGCAATGGGTGAGCATCTTTCCCTGCTCGGGATCTGCAGCAGGTCTGGCGTTGGGAGCCTTGCAGTGCCTTGGATGGTCTGTGATTGCCATGTCTGAACTGCAGATTTATGTCGATCTGCACAGAGTTAGTCACAGACTTACCTTCTGCACTCTAATCTCTTAATCTTAAAGCTAGGTGAAGGAAAGGAAAGGCTAGATGGCCAATGTGAAGCATTGCATACCAACGGTTGTCTTTTGTCAACCGTTACCTCGCTCTGAAAATCATAAGCAAACAAATAAAGAAAATCAGTCCTTATTTACTAATGTTATGTATACTGGAGCTGAGAGCTGCTGTCAGATATTAGAGGACTGCAGTTATATGAGAAGGTTATACCACACCAAGGCCCTAATGCCTTTACTTTCAAGTGTCTTCTACTAAAGAGAAGGTGAAAACAGAGCACAGTGTGACCTTCAAGGACCTCTGTAAGCATAAAAAGCTATCTGCTCCTTCTGGAAAGGAAGAACTCCAGCAAATCTGCCTCTTCTCAGTCCTAAAGCATTCTCGATGAATTACGAGACAGCGGCCACAGAGCAATTTGGCTGGAAAGAAAGTCTGGGGCTCATAACAGAATCTACAGTTTGAAGTTACAAATTCAGGATGAAAGGATACAAACAAATTCCTGATTGATATCAAAGCAGTCCGTGTTACCACGTTAACTGATGGGAAAGAATGAACAAACTACAAAAAAAGATAAACAGTAGTTACATATTTGGATTTTTCAAATAAACTGTAACTACAAAGGAAACCTGCCAACATGAAGCAAAGTGGTTTTTAAAGCTTGCAGTCCATGGAATTTTTCCATACACATATGGGAAAATCTTTCAGAGCAAAGCAGCTCATTAAACCCCCTCTGGGGATTTCCACTTTCCCTTGGCTGCTTCCGCTGCTAGGATAAACCATTTCCCCACTTTCTCCTAACTCAATCCAAGCAGTATCCTGGAAACCTTCAGAAAGAGCCAAACTTAACTGATTAGTATGGCAAACAAAAGACCAAAAATCTCTTAATCTGAATATGCTGGGGATTATATGCAGTTGAATGACTGTCACGACAAAATCTAAAGTCATGTTTAGTCATTCCTCAGAATATTCTCCCTCTCGCCTCTGACAAAACCTCACAGCATTGCAGACTTTGGAGAGATGCCCTTGGGAAAAGACCTTCCAGTCTGGCCCTGGCTACACGCTCCCCAACAGCCATCAGATGACAGAAATAGCAGATAAGACACAAGGAGAAAAGTTTCAGTCATACTCTTCAAACCTGAAAGGCAGCAGCTGGCCCCCGGCCGACAGTGTATTAGCCCAAGAAGCCGAATACATCCATCTTTCAGACTAATATTTAATTTCTGAGGCAATGATCCTTTAATATCAAATCACCTCCTTGCTAACACGTTCTATCATCTAGGAAATACCACAGGTGCTGGAGCATCTTTAATGAATATGAGGGGTCCATCTACAGCCAGGAGCACAAATCCCTACCTGGCCAGCTC